AGACTAGACTAATTACTTAATTGCTCTGCTTCCTCTGTGGAAAAAGAAGACTGTAACGTTGATTCTGGTCCAGTCCATGATTTCTTGGACTTGGGTGAAGATGGGTCACAGAGGGAAATAAAATGTCTATCAATATTATTTCTCTCTATGAATAATGTAAGAAGCAGGTCAGACTTTCATTCCAAATGTTTTTCCATGCTCACTGCCTGTAAATTTATCTGTATGAGAACATTCTCTGTAAAATCTTTCCATCTTCTGTCTTTTCAGAGTGTCTATTATTGCCGTCAAGAATTCTTTGGTTCTACACCTTTCTATCCCAACACAGCTAACGTTATCATATTGGTTGTAGATTCAGTTTTAGAATTGTATTTTCTTATTACTATTTCATCTGCCATTTTTCATATCTAGTGATTCCTGTCTTACATTTGAAAGTCTTTGAAGCTTAGATACTTTATTAGGTTCTTATTTTCTCACCTTAAGATATCTTAAGTGTCTTGGTTATCTCTTTTTTAAAAATATTAATAAAGTACATAGCAAAATAATGCAAATTGAAAACATATAGCCAGGCCTGTTGTGGCTGGCCTGGCATCTCAACTCCTGAGAGGCCAAAACAGGGATACTACAAATTCAAGGACTGCCTGGGCTACAGAGTAGGATCAAAGTCAATCTGGAAAACTTAGTGGGACTCTCTTGAAAAATAAAGAAAAAGTCAATATAAGAAAGGCTGAGGATATAGCTCAGTAGTAGTATTTGTTTATCATGGATGAGGCTGTAGGTTCAATCCCTAGTACCACAAAAATAATAAATAAATAAATAAAATAGCCACTAATTTATTTATAGTGTTTGGTTCAACCCTAAGTCCTTCCCCACTTGACACAAACCGTCTCTTACTGTCCACCATACTTTAGTTTTGGCCAGGATACTTTATCAATGATATCATCGTGTTTTACACCACACAATGGAAATGCAACGTAGGAGGAAATGGTTAATCTTGCAGACATTGTCTCGACATTAGGGAAGGTGAAGATGAAGCACCTGAGTCACTTGAAAAGCAGTGTATCATGGGTACCTGTACAAGTCTGTCAATGTGACAAAGATAATCATTTTACAGGTACGTTTTAAAAATCTAAACTTGTATATCTTGGTCATTAGAGGTCATTATGAAAATTGGTGAGGTTCTCAAATATTAAAAATGAATTGTTCATAAATATTATCGTGTCATAGGATTATATGAATTTACAACAGAATTTTTCACTGAATATTATTTTAAATTATAAGAATTTATATGCTTTCCATGATAATAAAATTTTATTCCCTTCCCTTCCCTTCCCTTCCCTTCCCTTCCTTCCTTCCTTCCTTCCTTCCTTCCTTCCTTCCTTCCTTCCTTCCTTCCTTCCTTCCTTCCTTTCTTCCTTCCTTCCTTCCATACTGTGGTTCAAACCCAGAGCTTCATGAATGGTAGACAAGTTATCTTACACTGAGGTACATCCTTAGCCCAAGCAAGGCTTTTTCTTAAATAACTGATATAGTTACTTAGCTTTTAATTTTTTTGGAAAGGAAACTAATCATTTTCCCACAGATTATTCTGAAATATTGGTGTCTCTTTAACTCTGTGTTTTTTTCAAGAACCAGAAAATATATTAAATTAGTTAAACAGAATAGATTACTACATAAGCAAGATGTTTTAATGGAGCAATTGGATAGTTTAAAGCATGTGCCTCTAATGTGAAACTTTTACAGCTTTGGAATCATGATCTATCAAGAAATATTAAACCTTTAGGGTTACAGTTGGAGATTGTAGAGTGGATTATTGTAACCCTGTTCCAGAGAAGCTTCAGGTTTTCAAATCCTCACCTTCAGCACACAGTATGGCTCTAACATACTTTACTTCAAAATCATTCTGTGACTTCATCTAATTGGTTAAATCTAGCTGCAAGGGATTCTGTAAATGAAAGTTCCTTCCCATTTCTATCAATTGAAGAAGGCAGCACAAAGTTGAGAAAGCTAGTAACCACAAGATTGTCTAGAGTGGCTTCCACTTAAAAGTGGTTATAAGCAGTCCAGCCCCAGTATGTGAGAACTGGCACCAGTAATAATGTGACACTGAAGGAGGCAGGCAGAGTGAGGATTGCACAGAGTAATATTTCTTAGGGGTTTACTGAGAGAAGTGTGGTCCTGGACAGCAGCAAGAGCAATGAGTCCCCCTGATTATGGTCAGAAATAAAGTCATATATATAGGTGAACACCAAAGTGGCTTCATTCAAGTCAGAGTACAGCTGGTTTGTTTCACACTAACATCAGCATCCGAGGCATTCCTGGCACTAGGGCCCAGTCATAAAGCTCCAGATATCATTCTGATAGTCTTGTCTGTTTACATTATGCTGAGAAGCTATTCAGGGAAAGCTGACCAGGATTATTTAGGGGCAGTCTTACTGGTATGACTCAAGATGGCTGCTATCATGTCAAACTGAATCCCTGCACAAGTCTTTTTCTGGTACTTTTTCATTTTTACATTTGCTTGACTGGCTCTGCAGTTTATTATTAAGGCATCTCCAAGTACTCCCAGTCACCTTTACTATACCATTTATTGTAACTAGCTTTGGGTGTGTGCTTGAGTAACTGGCCTGTGAATGTGGAGACACAACTCCATGTAGGTGGGCCTTTAATAACTGCTATAGTGTTAAGACATGATAACATAACCATTTTCTTTTTTATGTCTTTTATTTTATTCTTCTAAAATCTTATAATTTTATACTGTATTCAATATAGTCAAATCTGTGATTAAAATAAAGTAACCTAGTTAATAACATTTAGGAAATGGGTTTTGGGAATCTCTTCTGTCATCTATTTCCTGTATATCATACATTAACAAATGTTTGAAAAAATACATTTGTTTAATTAATTAATTTATTTATTATTGTGTGTATGTTCACACGTATAACACGGTGTGCTTGTGGAAATCAGAGGAAAACTTTTGGGAGTAGGTTCTCTCCTCCCACCATGTGGGTTCTGGGGATCAAACTCAGGTTGTTATACTTTGTGGTAACTGCCTTTACTTGCTGCAACATCTCACTGGCCCTCAATTACTAGAAAAATAAACTCTAGCTATATATGAGGGTGACTTCAGAAATAAGTCAGTTTTTTTAGATGGTCTCACTATGAAGCCTTGGCTTGCCTAGAATTCACAGAGATCCACCTTCATCTCCTTTCCCAGTGCTGAGATTTGAAGGCACGTGCCACCATCACTGACTAAAAGTCACTTTTAAAAGTGAGCTGGGAAAGTGATGATGACTTGCAGATTTAAGTAATAAATCTTAACAAAGAAATGCTGAATGGTTGCCCAAGACTTATTAAGATGAATTTGGGCTCCAAAGATTTTAGGGTTTCCTCTTCAGAAGGAGGAATGTTGGAGGGGAGGGAGTGGGCATGGATTTGATCAAAACACTTTATATTCATGTATGAAATTCTCAATAAAGTTTTTGTAAAAGTTAAAAAATAAATAAATAAAATAAAATAAACATTAAAAAGTAGTGTAAATTTTAAAAAGATGAATTTGATTATTAGTCTTTTGCTTTTTGGTTATTCATATTTATTAGTATCATAATTAGAAAGTAGAATTTGATATAATTATCAACTGGGACATAAAACTGTTTATGATGGCAAGTTATTTTACAGTGGACTACTTAACATATATGACACCATTTGTACCCAATACTACTTTGGTATTTTGTATGAATATGGGTGAAAAATGATGACCTAGGGTTTTTTGTGTGTGCCTATGTTTACATATATGTATCTCTCAAAATTCTGTCTGTTTAAAGTATGTCTTTATAACATCTAGAAAACCACCAGTAATCACTTTTTGAAATTATTTGAGTAAAATATTAAAACTGTAGCAAATGTAATGTCTGGGTTATGTCACATGTTCATAGTGTATATGCCCGTGGTCTTAGATGCATCAAAAATATTTCACATGTTTATGACAGAAACTCAGTGATGATTTTTTAAAATTTGTTTGATTTATTTATATTTATTTTATGTTTGAGTGTTTGCCTTCATGTATGTAAGTTCCCCCCATACATCAAACGCCTGGGAGACCAGAAAAGGGTGTTGGATTCCTTGGAACTGGTCTTATGGATGGTTGTTAATTGTGTTGGTGCCAAAAATCAAGCCAGGGTCTTCTGGAAGGGCAGCTAGTGCTCTTAATGCTCTTAACCACCAAGATATCTCACCCCATCAGTGATTACTTTTGAAAGCTTGTTATTGCATTTTTAATTCAGAATTACATGCAGTGTCTCTATGGAACATTCTAATAACATAAGTTCCTGAGCAGAAGACAGAAACTTGCTTAGAGTGCTCTTCCCTGTTTAAGGCTGACTCCTGTTCTAGTTCCATTTGTTGCCTTGATAAAACAAGTTCACCAGACTTAACTTAGGAGAGGAAAAGGTTTATGTGGTTTGCAGTCCAGGTTCCAGTTCATCATGGTGGAAAAGTCAAGGAAGGAGTTCAAAGCAGCCAATCACATCACATCCATAGTCCAGTGCCGAGAGAAACGAATTCTTGGTTGCTGCTCTCTTCTTTTCAGCTAGTTTTTGCCATTTTTCTATGTTCAGGGTCCATTCCACATGACGCTTACATCCCACTTCAGTTAAGGCAATCAATATAGTCCCTTACAGACCACAGACCAACCTGATCTAGACAATTCTTCATTAAGAATCTATTCCCAGGTGATTCTAGGTTGTGGCATGTTAACCATCACAGCTGCTCATCTTCAGTGATACCATCTGAAGATGACACAAATGTTAGAATAGAGGTATGTATGTGTGAACCACTTAAAAATTTGTTCGTGGATAAGAAGGTACCCACAGAAATTGCGGTAGAATGTTTCTGTGGTGGGATCTCTCAGGAGGCATTACTAATGTGACTTTAACTTCCAATTCTTCTTTTGCTATTTGGATTTTCCCAATTTCATATTAACTATGCCTGTCCTTGTCTCTTAGGAAGTTTTTGATGTACAGTCTGAAGGACAGGCAACTGTAATTCAGCAATTGGAACAGACCATTGAGGATCTGAGAACCAAAATAGCTGAACTAGAGAAGCAGTACCCTGCTTTAGACTTGGAGGGGCCCCGAGGCCCTCCGGGCATTGAGAATGGAGCCTCTGAAAACGCCGGTCTAGAAGCTCTCAGATTACTTGGGAAGGACCCACAGCCTCAAAGGACTCTTCAGGCAAAATCAATACAGACCTCCCCCACAGAAGAGGGTGGCATCCTCACCCTACCATCTCTAAAGGCACCGCCAGAGGGTCCCCCATGCCCACCCAGGGCTGAAAATGGAGATTCCACTGTCCCAGCTTCACCCTCTGGACCTCAGACAAAATTCTGTTCAGAGATTTCTTTGATTGTATCTCCAAGGCGAATATCAGTGCAGCTCGATGCCGTACACAGTGCATCACAACCTCTACCGCCTCCATCCCTTCCAGGATCTGATGTTCAGAGGCAGCCTGGGTCCCAGCCCTCCCACTTTTCTTTTCAAACTGAGTTTGAAACCAGTCATGAACATTGTATTTCCTCTGCAAACAGCTGTACAATCCCACCTGCACCACCTCTGCCTTGGACAGAGTCCTCCAGCTCCATGCCTGGTCTGGGCATGGCAACTCCCTCAGCTCCCTGTCTTTCTGACATAATAGTGCCTCCTATACCCAGTACAACAACCCTACTAACTACCCCCCCACTGGGAACCGAAATGCTGCCACCTCCTCCTCTACCCCCTCCTCTCCCTGGACTGGGAATACCTCCTCCCCCTCCTCTCACTGGACTGGGAATACCTCCTCCCCCTCCTCTCCCTGGAGAGGGGATACCTCCTCCTCCCCCACTCCCTGGAGAGGGGATACCTCCTCCTCCCCACCTCCCTGGAGAGGGGATACCTCCTCCTCCCCCTCTCCCTGGAGTGGGTATTCCTCCTCCTCCCCCCCTCCCTGGAGTGGGGATTCCTCCTCCTCCCCCTCTCCCTGGAGTGGGGATACCGCCTCCTCCCCCTCTCCCTGGAGTGGGGATTCCTCCTCCTCCCCCTCTCCCTGGAGTGGGGATTCCTCCTCCTCCCCCTCTCCCTGGAGTGGGGATTCCTCCTCCTCCCCCTCTCCCTGGAGTGGGGATTCCTCCTCCTCCCCCTCTCCCTGGAGTGGGTATTCCTCCTCCTCCCCCCCTCCCTGGAGTGGGGATTCCTCCTCCTCCCCCTCTCCCTGGAGTGGGGATACCGCCTCCTCCCCCTCTCCCTGGAGTGGGGATTCCTCCTCCTCCCCCTCTCCCTGGAGTGGGGATTCCTCCTCCTCCCCCTCTCCCTGGAGTGGGGATTCCTCCTCCTCCCCCCCTCCTCTACCTGGGTCTGGGATTCCTCCACCTCCTCCTCTGCCAGGTATGGGGATTCCAGCACCCCCAGCCCCACCTCCCCCAGGGGCAGGCATCCCTCCACCCCCTCCACCCCCTCCACCACCTCTATTGCCTGGATCAGGTCCTTCACTCTCCTCACAAGATGGGAGTAGCACTTTACCAGCACCCCAAGTGTGTGGATTTCTCCTTCCTCCATTGCCAACTGGCTTTTTTGGATTAGGGATGAGTCAGGACAGAGGGGCTAGGAAGCAGCCCATCGAGCCCTGCAGGCCAATGAAGCCTCTCTATTGGACAAGAATTCAACTCCATAGTAAAAGGTAACAAAAAAGCAAACTTACCCCTGCAAGTTTGTTACTCTAAAGGGAACACTGTACCATATAACTTTTGGGGAGAAGGCATAATTATATATATATATATATTTGGTCTTTTTGAGACAGGGTCTCCCTGTAGCCCCAGCTGTCCTGGAACTCACTATGTGGACCAGGCTGGCCTTGAACTCACAGAGATCCGCCTGCCTCTGCCTCCTGAGTGCTGGGATTAAAGGTGTATTTTTAAGTGCAACTATAAAGCTTATTTGTAGATTCTTACATCAATATTTCGTGAAAAAATATATTTAACACTGCATGGTTTTCTCCAGCATAATCAAAGGTTAAAGGATGACATGCATGTATCACCATATGAAATGTGCATATATCCACCTATAGTGTTAATTAATATACCTTTTAAGGATAAAGGAGTCTGCGTTTCTCAGCACGTATGCTGTTTTCTATAGTTCAAATCCATCTGAATACAGGCAAAATGATCCAGGGCAGAGAAGCAGAGGTATCTGTAATGCAATTATTTTACACTCTTTGCCTTCACTATTTAAATTTCCGTTTCATGGCTTAAAAATGTAAATCAAATTGACAGGCAAACTGACTCCCCAGTATAAGCTTTGCATCCCTTTCAAAGTACAAATTTGGGACTGGAGAGATGGCTTGGTCATAAAGAGCACATTTTTGGTTCTAATTTATCATAATTTCTTGATATATTTGTATGAGCAGTGCATTTCCCGGGTAAATTTGTATACCTTGTATTAATTTTTTGCTAAATCCTAACAGAAGATAATACTGTGTGTCCTGACCAGTTTTTTTTTTTTTTCCACTTCATTCTCTGTATGACTGCCTTATCAGTTATATATGAGGTGGAAGAATCATTTAAAATTGTATTTCAAGATTCTTTTCTCCAGATGAGGGTATAAAGATCTTTGTCTTGATTGATTGTTTTTAAGAGATGGTATTTACACTTTTTCAATGGCATTGCACAGATCTGTGGTCATGGAAAAGCCACATAATGATGGGCTTTTCCATCTTGGGATAATGGGTCACAGTACAAAGAGAGAGGATATTGTTTAGGAAATAAATATATTTTTAAAAGGCTTATTTTTACTTTTTAACTTTGTGTCTGCATGCCACATGTGTGCAGGTGCCCGCAGAGACTAGAAGACCATGTTAGAGTCCCTGTAATTGGCATGCAGGTGGTTATGCATGGCTTGGATATTATGAAGCAAACTTGGATCCTCTAAAAGAACAGCAAGGTCCTCTCAGCAGTGAGCAAGCTCCCCTGTCCCCGTATTGTTTAACCCACAAATAATCTGCAAGGCTAATTCAAATTGGAATGTAAGCGAGTGAGCATTCCTTGCTTTCCTAGTGCATTCTGGGAGGGACTCTCTTTTGGTTTTCATGACCTGAGTTGATAACTATGAACTTCAGGAAATTATTGCTGGATGACAGTTTTATTTGTGTGGATGTCATCTACAACATTGTTCCGTATCTTTCTTCCCTCCACACTTCAGTTCTCTTTACCGTGTTCCTTCTGCCTTCCTTCCTCTTCTGTTTCTGCTCACCATGATGTAGGTCTTTTGATGGCCCTTTCATTATTCTTTGTCTTAATTTTAGAGAATCCAGCCCTTCACTTATTTGGGAAAAAATTGAAGAGCCATCCATAGATTGTCATGAATTCGAAGAATTATTTTCTAAAACTGCTGTAAAGGAAAGGAAGAAACCCATTTCTGACACAATCTCCAAAACAAAGGCTAAACAAGTGAGTATCTTGGCTTTCTAAAACTAGAGGAGCTTCTGGAACAAGGGTGAGCTTTCATAAGATGAAAAGCCTTGAAATGGTTTGTGGGTTGGGTATATCTCCATGGACCTTAAATGAACAGATAGTTATAACATGTGGTTAGATAAAAGTAGCCCAGGTAGAACAACAAATAAAACTATCCAGTAGGAAAGTCTTGATTCTTGTATTTGTAAACTTGTTAATTCATAGTTCCAAAACTTCAGATATTAATTCTAAATCTCCTTTTAATTTTTGCTTGATTTAAATCTTTCTCAGTGTTAATATATATGAAAAGAAAGAAAATATCCAGATAGAAAAACAAGCAAGGAAGTTCAGATCATGAACTGATAATGTGCTAGGTCTTTTGCTACATCCTTTGCATCCTAGCTTAAGTGGATGCAAAACACTTACACTGTAGTTGAAAATGGTAGGAAAGCTTGTTGGCTTCTAACATTTTTATTTCATGATAAATCCTTTGATCTAACCTTTGAAATGAATCAGTAAAAGAAAGACATATCTGGCAATTGCTGAATATTTTGAATGGGTAGACCAACTGGACATAATTATAAAATAATGTTCTGTCTCAAGGATACCATTCAGCAAGGTATGCTGACACCACAGTAAGGAGCTAACGATATTAGGGACAGCTATTGCTTCCCATCTTTGATCATGGAACAGGGAATATCCACATTTCCTATCTTTGTAAGGGTGAGAGGCAAGAGACTGGGGAGCAACTTAGTCTTAGTGGGAAGAAAGAGGCCAGTGTTCCTATTGTTTGTCTGGTCAGTCTCTCCACACCAGTGACAGCTAATGGTGTGATTCCCTTACTTCGTGCCTCTGACATGGAAGATGTAATGAGGTACATGGCCCAGAGTTGCTTCCGTTGCTGTTTATTTCAAAGTAGGCATCTCCTTTCACTTGGATACTTACAGATCCAACCAGGGAGGGATGAATTTGAATGAAACAGCCAGACACTGGAATCAGTAGCTGACTGGGTAGACAGATTCACCCAGGCATTTCATTAATCTCAGAAGAATACAAACCTAAATATGAAGGCCTTGAGTTTTTCCTGAAAACTTCAGGATTATTTATTAAATTCTAGCTAGTTGCTGGTAACCATAGGTCAGCATCTCTAGCAAATGAGACCCTAACTGATACATAATATGTACTCAAGGAATATTTGTTAATTAACAAACCAGCTGATTGGAGGAGGGGGAGTTTGAAAATACATTTGACTGTGTTTAGCAATGACTAAGATCTAGGAAAGCATTCACATCACAATAATCAGTCCAACATAACACCATTAAGATAAATGGAGGGATCAGCATTTTCTCTGGCAGGGATATGCATTTTAAAAAAATTTCCATGATATTTGTATGAAACAGTCTGAGGCTGAGCATCTTAGCCCTTCTTGTGAATCATGTTAGAGATTGAAAGTGGTCCAGGTGAATATTGAGTAGCGAGTGCAGACATGGAGGCGAGCTGGACAGCTGAAACTGACACTTGACAAAAGTACCTGTGGCCTGGGAAGTCTTTTGTGCAGGGTCTGGATACTCAGCAAAACAAACCATTCTTCCTCCATCTCCCAATAAATACCATACGCTTTTACTAAAGGAAATCAGATAATCAAGTTGTTTCAAATGTTGCCAGACACTTTAGAACTTTTCTATTTTATGTACTGTTCAGTTTTGGGCTTACTGAAATATGATTTATGTCTTACCAGCACTAAATTAAAGTTGTTGGTATGAGATGGCCTCTCTACATGTAAACACTGCATCTGTGTTGAATACACAACAGAATCACCTCAGTCTGTCATTAATACACTGAAACATTCCATAAGCTGTAGGTAAAAGACTTCGCTAATGTAATTAACAACTAATTGATGATGATGCCCCCGTTGACCTTCCATTTCAAACAAACTTTCTGAAAGAATCTCTACATATCATGATTCCTGGTAATTTTGTTATCAATAACTTGGCCTGATTTTAGCACTGAACTCAGTTTTGTTTTTAGAGGATGTAAAAGTTTCTGTGTTTTGGTTTTGTTTAGTTTTGTTTTTCCCATATGGTAGGGATAAATCTACTGCAAAATGATATATTATGAAAGAACTAATTGTATTTAACTTGATTATATTTGGAAGAAAAATATATCCATTCTATTTCCTTGAGACATTTGGAATTTTGTTTAAGGAAAGTATACTTTCAGGGATGTTTGCAAAGACATTGCCTTGTCAGGGGAAATATGGACCAATTGTATGTACAGGCATATTGTTAACTCATGATTCATCCCAAGTAAAATCAATAGCCTTTAATGCAGTGGCTTATGCTTATGCAGATATTTCAAGCAATTCTCCTTCCTTATATACAATGGAAACTGGAGTTTCTGTTTCTCTTTAAATATTTTAAAATAGTCAAACATTTTTTCTGTGATCTATCTTATTGCAAGTAAAATTGTTGTCAAATGCACTGGCATTTAACAAAGTCTGTGTTGTTTTCATGGTCACATTGGAGACATTTCCAGTTTGATACTAGAAGGTTCCTCAGCTGGGCACACAGCCCTTTGGCATACTTAGAAGAAGGGTTATTCTCTGGAGGGTCAGACAACTAGTGATGATTCATACGCTGTGTTTCTAAATCCTCTTTGCTCCAAGGAAATGAAGATAAAACATTTTGCATTTTTCTGATAAAATATATGCTCAAGTTTGTGCTGGCTAGTTTATTCAGTTATCCTTTTTATTTTGAAGTAACATGCATAAAACATTAGCTAGGAAGGCATAGGGAGTTGAACAGACAACATTGAGACATGATAGTTCATAAGGTAATGAGTATGACACAACGTCAGAATTGTCTATTAATCTGATCTCTTAAGAAGCAGAAGCAAAACTAGAAATAACAGCCCATCCGGTGCCTGTGTTTGAGAGTCACACACACTGGTACCCTTTAAAGGCATGCTTTAGACCAGAAAATACTTACCCTACTCTCTTCTCTATTCTGAACGTGACCAGTGATATCAGTATGGATAATGACCCAAAGTCACCTCAGGATCTGTTATGATCAAGTAGAGGTTAAATTAAGAGCTTAGCAACAGGAGAGTTAGAGAACTTAATTCTGAAAGTGTTTGGTAATAAAGTGACTCAAAAAAAGAAGATTCTGGTTAGCCCTGTATCCAGTGAGCTCATGAGGAAATATATTTGGGGGAAAACATGATATGAGAACAACAGGAATAGATGCACAGCAGTAGTTACCACACACACCATAGGCTAGACTGTGCCAGTTATTTGCCATGTGCCCATGACTGTTGTCAGTACATCATGTATATTAATTCATTTCACTATAAGATTGACACTGTTATCTTCATAGAGAGGGACAATGTTAGATAGATTCCATGATATTGCAAACTTTCTAAGGGGCACAGCTCAGTTCAGACTTCAGCCTTGATTTTCTAGAGCCTATTTTCTTCCTCGTTAAGTTATAAATGAGTATATGAAATACTTTCTGTGGCTGGATTATTTATATGGAAGCCAGAATATTAACTTGAAAATGAATTTGTATTTATTTTGAGTTTGTTCACTATTTCAATACCTATGGTTAGACTTAGGAAACTGTATGTTGAGGCATTTTGAAAACTTTTCCAATATTATAACAGGTTTTGACAAGTCCCTAATCTATGATGCCATGAAACATGACAACTGTTAAATGAAAGGTTATCTGACCGATAGGAGCCTTAGAAACATAAGCTGCTATAAGCAGAACAAAGCAAGGGCATCTGTGGCATATAAATAGTGAACACAAGCAGACAGCCACTGTGTTAAAACTTCTCCAGCGGTCTCCTTCAACACAAAGAGGCCTTTCTAAACTATGTCACAATGTCTAACCAATCAGGGTATGTACAGGAAAATGCTACCCACAATGCAAATTTGTACATAGAAGTTCTCAAGAGTAAATAAGACAAATATGTGATATTTTATACATGTATGAGTGGCATCTGTGCAACCATTTATTTTGATGCAGTTCATCATGGGTTTAACCTCTTGTCAGATTAAAATGTTCCTCCTAAATGTTGGAGGAAAACTCCATTTACAATGGTTAAATATATGTTCGGTTTTAGCCTTTTATAACACAATTTAAAAATAGGTAAATCTGCTATTTATGATAAGAGGAGAGAGAGTAAAAGAATTTGTTAAAGTTCATATTTAGTACAGATGTGTTAAGGGATTGGAGAGATGGTATACTGTTCTATCTTTCCATTGTACACTATTACCTCAAAACTGAAACTTTCTTACATTGGAAAAGTTCATAGTAATGATGAAAAAAGATGTGCTGATCCTGCTGACCTCACCTGGGAGCCTAATGTCATGCCCCTGAGCATTGTAATGTGAAGCGGTAATTGTCATAAATGCCTCTTTCTACTGTGCTAAAGAACTTGGGGGATGCGTGTGCTCCATTTAGAATCCCCAGACACTATGAAAAGGATAAAAGAGCTATGTTGTCTTATCTTTGAATTTCTGCTTTAGTTTTATTCACTGTAAACATTCATTTTTAATTTTAAAAATATGTGTCCTTGTAATTAATGAGTGATTGAGATTTCATTGCCCAAAGGGTGGCAGTTTAAGTAATAGGGTGAATAATAGCAGATGGGGTTTGTCTTTTAGATTGAAAGCCTAAAGTAGTGTCAGAAACACAACTATTCTTTTAAAGATTTATTTTCTGTGTATGTGTATATGCCTGAGTGTATTTAAATGCACTACATGTGTGAATGTGCCTGTGGAGGAAAGAAGAGGGGGTTTGATCCCCTGGAGTTGGAGCTACAGGTAGTTGTGTGCTGCCAGATATAGGTGCTGGGAGCAAAATTCAAGTCCTCATAAGAGCAGCTAGGAAGAAAGTACTGGGAACCTCCAAGCCATCTATCCATCTGCAGAAACACTAAATATCCTTTAATAAACAATTCAGAGGCTGGAGAGATGGCTCAGTGGTTAAAAGTAC